TTCGTAATACATTATTAAACTAGATTCAAGACACGCGAACATTTCTAACCACTACCACTATAAACGTTGTATTTAGAAGCAATACTTATAACCTAAATAAATATAACAAAAAAAAATTAAAGTACAGTTTATAATATAGTTCGAAATAGTATTTTTTATTAGGCAAGCAAAACTAGTGGAAATAAAATCTTGCAACTTCACTCACCAATTGCTTAGGTCGCCGAACTACCTTCCGACCTTTTAAAATCTTTGCTTCTCATCTAGATCTTGAAACTACTGTATCCTACTGTATCCCAAGTTAAAAAACAGTAAAGCTCAAGGTAAAATACTAACGACTCAAGTTGATTTCTACATTACGTATTACAAAAAAAATTTCTCATATGACATGACGATTTTTACTTATAAAAGTACTTTAAAAATTACAGTTGACTGTATAAAAAAAAAGATCATCGCCAATCACATTTAGTTTAATTTTAGCCAATCAAAACGAACTTCCGCTATGCTTTTTCTGGGATCAAAACAAAACATCAAACACTCATCAACAATACTTTCTTTTTTCGCCCCATTATTTTGTTCGTCGTGCCATCCCACTTTCACATAGGTTTGGAGAAGTTAGATCATTTCGGTAGTTCTGGTCTAACCGGGTGGATTATTGATTGGTTGTCCTATGTGACTGCATCTACAACTTCTCGTTTGTTTAGTGTCCTCTTTCGCTTTACAAACTATCCTTAAAGATCGGTTTCTCTATACTCGTTTTGAAGTTTTTTAACTTTGCGCTTGAATTAGGTTCGTCAAATGAGTGATATACACCTTCTAACACAGATAGGGCCACTGACAGTAGTTTAAACTAAGCTTAAAGCTTCCCTATTGTTATGCACAAATTGTCTTGAGGAAGTTCTTGTGAAGCGAAGCTGACGAATCTCGCAAAGTTTTCCTTTTTGTTATTTGATTTTTTTTTCTTTTTATTTAGTAATTTAGGCAAGTTGTTTTTTATTTATATATTTTCGTGTCTATTTTTTTTTTTTTGTTATCTAATTTTATTTTTATTTGCTTTAAAGTTCGTCGCCACTGGTGTTTTTCGTTCGTCGTTTTCGCGTCGCCGTCGGTGTATTTTCGTTCGTCGTTTCTCGTGGTAGAAAAGCGATTTGAAAATGTGACATAGTCTGAATCGATTTTAAGAGATAATGATGGCATATTTTACACTTAGTGGCAGTGAAAATTTTGTGATATAGTCTGAATCGTCTTAAGGGATAATGATAAATAACATTGATATAGTCTGAATCGTTTTAAGAGATAATGATGACTTTATGTTAGATTTGAATCGTTTTAAGAGATAATAATGGCATATTTCAAACTTAGTAGCAGCGAAAAGTTTATGGATATAGTCTGAATCGATTTTAAGAGATAGTGATGGGCATATTTCACATTTAGTAGAGTCGGTGTTCTTTTCACGAGAGACGTACGTACCTGTTTACCATTGGTTTGCTATCAGTAAAATGCGAATCACTTTACCGATGACTTGGTACACCATCGGTATCGTATTTTATCATTTCGAGATTTTTTTTTTTTAAAAAAAGATTGGGAAATAAATGAATTGAAAACTAACCGAATATACGTGTTTTAGATCGTTAGCACTTTCTCTGTAGATTTAGACTTTTTTTTTTGAATTCCATGATTTTAAACTCCTTTGGGTCACACGATGCAAACCTCCTCGTGGTGTGATCTGGACATCGAGCGATTTGTTCGATGACTAATGTGCATCACAATCACTAACAATATAAACTTACAGATTTGCTTTTTTTTTTATTGTATAAACTTATAAAACTCTTAATGTAATAATAAATCTGTTTTCGGTTTTTTTTATCAAATGTCTTATCGAACTGATCGACAAAGACCAAAATCAAAGATCGTAACGAAAGTATTTGAATATGTTATCTTTAATGGACTTATAACGTTAATTTGCACATAATAAAAAAATATTTTGAGTCATTGCTAAAAAATCATGCGATATTAAAATTTATTTCTTCTGTAAGCTTTATTAATTATTGTGCTTGCAAAAAGATGTGACCTCTGCAGATCACAATGTTGTGTGAGAATCGGAGATTCTGTAGATTTTAAGAAGAATATTTCCGATTTCAAATAAATAAAATTTGAACTGATTGTATACGTATACAAACAAGATTATTATCATCGAAGCTAAACATATCGGTTCTTATAATATCTATTTTTATATTAGATATGCTTAGGGATGAAAAAAAAACGGTTTAACCAGTTTTTTAGATGTTTTAAAACTTTTTAAAAAACTTTTTAAAACATTGGCGCTGAGACTAAATTTAAAATTTAGTGCCAAAATGCTGATTCACCAAATTTCATAGAGATAACTTTTAAAGAAAAAATATTTCACTTTATAAACTTTCGTTATTATATAATTATAAGAAATGCACAGTGCTAATTTATATATATGTATAATTTTTTTATTTTATTTTTGTTTTTAATTTAATGCATAACTATAAATTTAATTATCATCTTCGAACCAATCATCAATCTCAATTTCTTTGAATTCTTAAATTCTGGTAGACTGCAATAAGTTTTTTTCTACCGCTCATTATTTAATACCATTTTGGAAGCTTTTGCATCTATATTAGTGATCCTTTAATTAAGCGACTAAATTCACAAAGTCCTCTTCACAGTAGTTACACTTTTGGCGACACTTCTGGCGAGGTGCAGTTTCCGTAACTTCTGTAAAGTTTAAGCGAATTTCTTTTAATGGAGGTCTCCACGGAGTATTTTAAAAAGAGATAATGATAAAGTTGTATTTTGATGAAATTAGTTAAATAAATAATAAATACTATCCCATTGTTACATATTATGATTACGTCAGAATGTATTAAATCATTTAAACATGTTTTAAAACATTCCGGTTTAAACCAATTTCCATCCCTACTATATACTATACGATATTTAAAATTCGTGAAGCACATAAGGATCTCTAAAATTATATTTTATAAATTACTAATATGTAAATATTGATTTTGTCAATATTCTCAAGTTATTATGCCTAATAAGATGCGTCAAAGTGGGGAGAAGATGGAATGGATTAGACTATAGTTGTTAGACGAAACCTCGAGGTTTCGCGCGAAGCCTAGTTTAATTAAAATCTTAAATGACGAAACTGATGAAAGTGATATTGACGAAAGGTGGCGAAGGCGACGAAACTGATGAAACTGCAAAGGGTGACAAAACTAATAAAAGACGAATATACGAATAAAATGTTGTTGAAGATTGTGTATAAAAAAAGAAACTAACAAAAACAGGAATTTATAAAAATTACAAAAAAATTTTTTATTGTTTAAAGGGAGTATTCTATATTGTATTATACTAGTACGCTGTGCTTACTTTGTGAACTTACAAATTTATTTTGTGCCTGTATGGTTTAATTCATTATTTGTGTTATTCCATGAGTACTATGGCTTTTTACAAGGTTATTTCAACCAGTTTATAACAACCCTAGCGTTGTCCAGAAAAAATGAATTGGATTATTTTTGCTGGCATACATATAATTTCAAATACTGATCTTTGAATAATTTATGAATGTTAATTCAATGAAAATAACATTTTGTTTTCTTTTTATGTTTTCTTTTTATGTTTTTATTTTTTTTTTAGAAAGAGCGCTAGAGTTTTTTTTTTTTTTTAGGGTTTCGTCATCATACGAAAAAGGCTTTCTAACAACTATAGATTAGACGCACTATCAATCTAGATCTGAATCGAGGTCCGAAAATTTTTTCAGAATTTAAGATTGATCAATTAACTGGTGACTGAATTTAACTTAACTTCATAAATTCGCTGTGATGATTCACATTCGCAAACAAATATCGATGCATAAAGTCGCCACATGTTCAAGTTCTGGTTGGTAATAATATTTCATTTACGAAGACCAAGACACTAAATGCTATAACTAACGATTAGGCTCAGGAAATCTTGATATAATCCTACAAGCCTGATATCTCGAATATTTAATGAGGAATAATTAAAGTAATAATTAATATATACTGCCCTTTACGTACAGTATTACATTTATTATACATACAAATGCTACATCTGTAATTTAAAACAATAAGTTAGTTACGGCTCTGCTTATCACAATGTTTGAAGATTCTTTATTTCAGCGTACCGGTACGTACGTCACATACTATGTAAGGACGTGACGAAAGAAACAGAAACTAACCTTTGATAATTTACTTATCATAGAAGTAATTTTAACTAGTTTCTAACTATATAAATCATGAAATTTGGTTATAAATCATACCAAATAAAGAAAGTATGTAAACTTCTACGGGTAGAGATTCTAATATAACATATACGTAGGTTACCAATTATTTTATCGCTTCGAGCAAGGATTGGACCCGTATCCGGGTCACCCGGGTTAGGTCGTGTAACCGGGTAAAGATTTTGCTACCCGGGTAAAAAAAGGTAACCAATCAAATAAAAATATTTTCTATATTTCGTCCGGACAGGCACTATTCATTATGAACTTCCCCTGGATCGCCACCAAAATACTAATAAAATTTTTTCGATCACGTGAAACTATCCAATAATAAATCACGCCTTGGTGTAACGTAACACAATCAGGAAGATCCGAAACAAACGTTCGTTTTCAAAAATTCTCCTCTAACTCAAAAATTTACATAAGAAATCACCTTCTGTGCATTAACAAAAAGTTTTTCTTGAGCGATTTTGCTATTAAAAACACATAAACCCTAACCTTAGCACAGACCCTAACCCTAATCTAAACGAACTTAACGATTTTTGTACGATCACGTGATCGGAAAAAAATTGGTGGCGATGCTGGGGAAGATATTCATTATGTGCTTGGTCACGTGACGACACCTCAACCAATCAAATCGCATTTTACTTTACCCGGGTACTTACCCGGGTATGTTTGCAATTAACCGACAGGTAACCCGGGTTGGATTTTTTTGAACGGGTCCAATCCCTAGCTTCGAGAATAGATTTTGTAGAGTAATAAGATTTACTTCTATATTTCGTTTCAACGTGAGTAGGGTCATTTATATCCGAAATATCTTTCAATACGTTTTCAGATTCAGATAATTCTAATACTATTTTTTCGTCATCTTTCCATTCTGTAAAAATATCATAAATTGCTACTACAGTTGGGCGGTTTTCTGGATGTTTATTCCAATATTCTTTCATTAAATTTATATAGCATTGTGGTGTATCCTTAATGATAGTTGGCCTTAAGTTGTTACAACAAATCTCTATTTGAAGTTGTTGATTAAATTCTCGATCGTAATACAGTCATATCTCTTTATAATCACACTTTTGGGACCATAGGAACTTTTTTAAAAAAAATGTTCTTGTAAAGAGATGTGCTTATATAGAGGTCTTTTGTTATATATTAGATAGTAATTGGGCGAAGATATAGATGTGATTATAAAGAGGTTTTCATATGATGTGATTATATAGAGGGTGATTATAAAGAGGTATGACTGTATACAGATTTTCCATATAAAATTTCCCACATAATTATGCCAAATGAGTAAATATCTAATGCTGTTGTATATTGACCTCTGTCTAAAGTTTCTGGAGCTGCATATGGTAGAATTCTGTAAATACCATGATGCTCTGTCTTTAATGCTATGCTTTCCACCATTATACATCCCAAGTCTGCAATATATATGCTATGTAAATTTTCTTGCAAAAGATAAATATGTTCATGAGAATGAATTATTTTTAGATCAGAAGCAATACAATGCAATAAATTTAACTTATTTTTCCATTCCATTTGTGCTATAGTGTTGAGATTGCTGTGAAAGAACCTTTAAGCGCATACTCTAAAATGAGGATATAATCACCAGAAGAATCATCTTTTGATATTCCATAGCATTTTAAGAATGGTGGATAAATTTTTATTGTATAAGGTAGGTATGTTTAATTTGGCATGTTTAAGATATCCCGGAATCTACTAATTGGATTCGTGTAATTTTAGTACCATTTGATTCATCTCAATAAGATGAATCAAATGGTACTGAAATCATGTGAATCCAATCAATAGATCCCGAGAAATTGGCATATTAGATAAATTCTCTTTATTTAAAATTTTAACAAGAGAAGACAACATGGTAAAAGTCAATTTTTTAAAAGTCAATTTTTCTTTGTTAATAAATCGTTACTTT